CAGAAGGGGAAGGGGTGGAGCCGGAAACCCTTGCAGCTTCCCCAAATGCCTCCCCACCAGGCTCAACGTGAAAGGCGCAGGCCTCACTCGACCGAACCCCAAAGCGTCCCAGTGGCTTCCTCGCTGCTCTTCTCCCTTCAAGAATTGGGGTTCGGCAGCACCGAAGCCGCCCCTACCAGCTGCCGCACCGAGGAAGCTGCCTCTCCCGCCAGGTGTCCGACGAGTTGACAGGATGGCAGAAAGTTTTTAAGTGTCAACCAGCATTGGAAAATGCACAATGTCATTTCATAGGACATTGGTTCCTGGAACATTTGCTTGATTTTACAGAGGGATGTGGGTGAGTGTAACAGCTGACTTTACCATGACCATAGACTCATTTTCTAGTTCCCAGAGCCCACAGGAGCAACCCCATCTACGTCACTGCTCTCTGGCTGCTAGCCTTCAGTTAGCCTCAAGACATTTTCCTCAACCCTCTTATCCGCTGTCTAGTATTAAACCGAGAAGAACAGACACTGGGGGGGGAGCTGACTTCAATACTTTTTTTTTACAACCTCCACCCCCACCCCCTCCCGCGAGAAGGGTTTCATGAGAATCTCCAAAAGGTACCATTGGCCCTTCCCTCTCTGTTATTCATGCTGTACTCCATACCTTGTTCTTAAATATTTACAAGAACGTTCATTTCTTGGTCTGTTGGTTTTCCACCAAGAAAGGGTTGGGCATGAGTTCTGCCCTTTGTGCCCCCAGCACCCTCCTGATGAGTACTTCGAACCCAGGAGAGAAGGGAGAGTCGGAGAAGACGGGCAGGGAGAAGCAAGGGTGAATTCTAACGTCGGATGGCGGCTGAGTACACTGTGTGGGGAGTGACTCCCCACGTGATCTCACCTACACCTGGGGACCGCAGAAAGCGTGTTTCAGGAAGAGCAGGGAGAAGGTGGAGTGAAGAATGGTTTGCCTCGCAACCAGGAAGGAAGCTCTGTAGGTCAACGGACCGGAAGCAGCACCGCAAGTGGACTGGCGGGCACTTGGGGCAGGAAGAGTCTGGCCAGACTTCCTGCGGGGAGCTTCCAAGGCCTAGATGCAGACGCTGGTAGAAAGTGGGGCCCAGGCTGGGAAAAGGGAAGTGGGAGTAGGAGGGAGGCCCATGCCCTCCCTGCAGACACCCCAGCCCGCACCCTAGACTCCCAACAGCCAACCACACACTGAGCTCTGCTAGGAGGCTCTCCCTACCCCCACCCACTCACTGACCTCTAACCACAAAAGTACTTGTGTGAAACCTGCTTGTCCACATTAATTCTGCGCAACTTCTGTGACGGCAGCTTTGCCCATAGAAAACCAACCCAAACCTTTTGCCATCAATTCAACCCCAACACAGACCGCGTATAGAAGACTCGGTTAGAATGCAACCAGGCTTGCTTCAAAGAAAGACCCCCCTGAGGCGCTCACCCACCGCAGTCATGGGGGCTAGATGCATGACCAAGAGCATCATCTGATAGCACTCAGAGGTATGACAGGAGGCACTACACAGAGTCCAAGACCAGGGAGCCCCAAGCACCCAGGGGCACTGGACATCCCAGGCAAAGATGAAGGGCAGCAAGGGTTCTGTGCACAGTTTCACTTGGGCCAGCCAGCTCCATCTGTCCGAGGGCCTAGGGATAAACGCATAGGCACTCAGCCTCTGACCAGCACCTGTGTGGGGGCTCTGTGAACCAACAAGGTGAGATCTGAAAGCCAAGCACGGAGCAGGGGAGAAAAGAAAGGCAAGGGGAGGGGAGAGAGGTGGGCTTACCGGCAACAACAGGACTCTAAGCTCCAGGTAGATCACCTTGTCCAGGTAGAACTCCTCCAGGCTGCGGGAGATGTAGTCTCTGAAGACTGGTGCGTAATGGACTAGGCCAGAGATGGCTTGGAAGATGGAGTCAAACTTCGCCCAGATGGCAGATTGGTCTTGGTAAGCCAGCTCGGGGTTCTTGGTCACCAGTGTGAAATTCCTTATCAGACTGTCCGGGACACAGAGAGGCTGTGAAGGAGGTCACATCACACACACACACCCCAGACACCTGTGTCGCCCAGCCTCTCCCACAGAAGCAAAGTAGGAAGTGGCACAGGGAGGTGAAATGGAGAAGACAAAGAGAGCATCCTGGTGTGGGATACAGACAGATTTCTCCCAAGTTGTCTCCCCCAGATAGAGGCCAAACCCAGCTGCTTGCTACCCATGATAAATGACATACACTTAGAGGTCAACGAAAGTGGGTCAGAGGTTCAGCCATCTAGAGCAATCAGACTCTAAAGTCTGTCCCATTCAAAGTAGGGCCCACTCCCTTTTGATAAGGAACGTAGTAGGTTATTTCCCTGAAGGAGACCCCAGGGAGGTCAAGCCCACTCAAGGGTGACCAAGGTTAGGCTGCCATATTGAGTCTAGGGTCTGCCCTTCTTGTCACCTGAATACCCTTAGTCCCTCCCCTTCCTGTTACATGTACACCCCTAGCTCATCCGCTTCCTGTTACACTTATGCCTATAGTACAACTCCTTCCTGTGACGTATGTCTTTACCTGTAATTAGGGGGCATGCATGTTCCCAAAGATATAGAAGCCTGGGTTAGCAATAACTCTCCCCTGCCTGCCCTCTCTGCCCACGCTGTGCGTGGACCTGGCTGTTGAGATCATGGCCATCCAGGAGGTGAGCATGCTACTGTGAAATATGTCTGACTTCTTTATTTTACTCTCTCCCAATTCACTATGACTTTATTATAATCTTTATATATATACATATATATATATATATTTTAACCATACAATTGCGCTTACTGAACCCATGATTAATTGTGGGGAGCTGGCTATCCCCCACATCCTGGCTCTCCACCGTGTGGCCAGGCCACCGCAGACTCCAGCTTTGTACTCACTAAGAGGGAGAACCTGGCTCTCCAGTTCTCCCTCTATCTATCTAGCCTATCTGACACCACTGGACATACATGGAGACCAAGCTCCCCTGGGGTGGTAAAAGACCACACCACAACCCATGGCCATAGACTGGATTCTGACGCACACCGATCCCATGTGTTAAAAATGACGCATAGCATTCTCTTGGCTGTCATCTCCGCAGAGCAGATTGACAGGCAGCCTGTTCTTCCTTGGTACCACTGGGTGCCTTTGAACTGCCAACCTGTAGGTTAGTAGTTGAACAAAAGCCATTGATTGGAGCCACCCCGGGACCTTCTTTGGGTGGCACAATAGCAATCATTTTACATGTGGAGCCACACAGCCCAGGTCAACATCCATTTATGAGCTGTGTGACCTCGGGTGGCTTACTTCAGTGTGTTGAGCTTCATGTTTCTTATTTCATGTTGTTATGCAGAGATAAATAACTTCATGAAAATACCCAATACGCTGTTCAATAATTAAAATAAGCTGTTACTTATCATACTACTATACACATAACAATAATCTGATGACTTTCTGATATTATTGAAATATATTTATGTAACTATAAAGTGCTACCAAGTGCGTTCTAGTTCACAGTGACCCTGTGCACAGCAGAAGGAAACGCCCGGTTTGTGCCATCCTCCCAGTTGTCCTCTGCTCGAGCCCACTGTGGCAGCCACTGCGGCCGTCCATCTCGCGGAGGGCCTTCCTCTGTCGCTGCCCCTCTGCTTGACTAAACATGATGTCCTTCTCAGAGACTGGTCTTTCCTGGCAGCGTGTCCAAAGTACATGAGACAAAGTCTCGTCTTTGTCTCTAAGGAATATGCTGACCGTGCTTCTTCCAAGACAGAATTATTTTTCTTTTAGCAGTCCATGGTACTTTCAACATTCTTCTCCAGCGCCACAATTCAAACCATTGACTCTTCTTTGATCTTTCTTACTCAATCTCCAACTTTCACATGCTCATGAAGCGATGGCAAATACCATGGCTGGGGTCAGGCACACCTTAGTCTGCAAAGCCAATGCTTGCTTTTCAATACTCTGAATAGGTCTTGTGCAGAGGTTTACCCAGTGCAGTGAGTCTTTTGCTCTGTTGACTACTGCTTCCATGAGCATTGATAGTGGATCCAGGCAAGAGGAAATCATTGAGAACTCCCCACTTTTCTCCATTTATCAGGCTGTGACCTATTGGTCCAGTTGTGAGGATGTTGGTCTTCTTTACATTACATCATATATTATTACATATAATAATATTGCCTAGTATTACTAGGAGTCTTGGTGGTGCTGTCAGGTAAGTGTTGAACGACTATTGCAAGGTTGGTGGTTCAAACCCACCAGTCACTTCTCAGGAGAAAGAAGAGGCTGCCATTCCCATAAAGATTTACAGCCTTGGAAATCCTAAATAGGGTTACTCTGAGTTGGTATCGTCTTGATGGCAGTGAGGTTGGGTTTTTGGTTACAGTATTATCATGCAAGCTTGTTAAGATGTTGGTTTATGGTGGGGTTTTTTTTTGGGGGGGTTATGGTGTTTTTATGTCATGTCATCTACCAGATGGATTATCGTTGCAGCCCCTGTGATGAATGATGAATGTTGAATTGTCATCATGCCGGGAGCTGGGCATTTGCTTTTTTGGGGCCTCACTGACATCACCACAGATCTTGTTCTGTGCAGTAACAGTATTGCTGACCGGGCAAGATTTAGCATGCAGCAAACACTTATTAAAAAGAAAATGTAAATAAATAAATAGAAAATGCATTTTTTAAAGTCAAAATAGAAAGAAAATAAGGAAAATATTTGCTACTTTAATCATCAAAGAAACCACTAGTCTTACATGAAGTACTTCTCCATATTAGTGCCAAGTCATGATATTGTCAATCGCCTCATCTGCATGTGAAAGCCGGTCAGTGAATTAGGCAGACCAGAAAAGGATGGAAGCCTCTGAATTTTGGCGTTGGTGAACATTACTGCATATTGAATGGACCGCCAGAAGCCCAACCAGTCTATTTAGGAAGAAGTACAGTCCGATGGCTCCTTGGCAGTGAGGACGGCGAGACTTCATCTGACACATTTTGGACATGTTTTCATGAAGCAAGACCTCATGCTTGTTAGAGGAGAGAGTCAGTGGAGGTAGAGAGGACCGTCGACAATATGAATGGACCCAGGGACTGCAGCAGTGGGCTCGGACATAGGCACGGGTATGTGGATGGCTCAGGGCCATTCTGTTGTAAATAGGTCCCTCTGGGTGACTGAGAGCCCACTCAGTGTCTCATAACAAGAAGTGATAGCTAGGTTTTTTTATGCCAACGTGGCTCTCATAGGAACATGTGGGCAGAGGTTAGCCTGTCAGTCAGGTTGCAGCTTGATTGGAGGGCAACCAAGAGAAATGGCTTGCTGGAGGTTGGCGCCTCTCTCTGCTGCACCTTCAGGTTGATGAGCCATGCTGATGGCAGTCAAAGCCCTGGAAATGCATCCACTGCTATTGGATCTACGAGTCTTTGGACCCACTGGGCTGTAATCTTCCTGCATTCTGCATCATTGCAGGTGGCTGTGTGAATCTGAAGAGGGATTTAGGGACTAGTATCAGACTTATGGGCTAATACTGAATTTATGGACTTGAGCTAGACTTGGCTGGGATGTTTTCTTTAATGTACAATTACTCTTTGATAGAATCTTTTTAGTATACATAAAAAAGAAAGAGAGAAACTGTACTAGATGTTTTTTTTAAAAATTCCTAGATGCTTTTGTGAAGCAAAATATCTATAAAATTAAAAAGAAAATACCTCTTGATTTTCTTTAAGGCAAGATTTTTACATAAGCATTAGTCCTAAGTGAGGCACACCTGCATGCTGCACATTACCCATGACAGGTGTGCAACACCTGGACCACCACTCACCTGTTGTCAAACTCAGTGACATTCTTCAGATTTCTTCTATAATTCTTCAGCAGAATCCATTTTGAACAGTAGTCCTGCTTAAGGCTAGAGGGAGTTGGGTGGGCAAAGGTGAACTGCAGGGTCCCCCTTGGAGTGAAACAGATATGGCAGTGGGGCCTGTAGGTGACATTTTTCACCAGCCAGTCCACATCCACTGTGCCAAAGTCATGGAGGTGCAAGGCAGCCCCTGGAAGGGGAGAAGGGGAGGAGAGCTCAGGAGGTGAAGTCCCGAATCTAGGGTTGGAGAAGCAGCGGAAGGCACAAGGCTTTTTATCTGGGCCTGTGCATCTGGGGAAAACAAGAGAATGTGACTTTCTCCAGCCCTAAAACCTGACTTATTTCTTGTCATTGTCTCCCCAATATATGGCCACTGTTAGGGGGGCTCAAGTCAAGAGTGGAACTTCCTTATCTTCTCCCCTTGTTAGTCAGAAACCAGGGGTGGGTTGGGAGAGGATCAGGTGTGGAATCAGAAGATGGGGGTTCAAACTGGGGCTCTATCAGCTTCTCGCTCTGCATTCAGAGGCCAGACCTTCCTCTCTTACACTCCCTTCACTCGCCTTGCTCCACCATCACGTAGCCCGACATGGAACCGTAACCGGAGCCGGGGCTGCCGTCTCAGGATATGAGCCTGGTCTATTGCCCTCTCTAAGACTGATGCTCCCCGTCAGCTGGGAGTGAGAAAGTCTACTGTACCATTTTTAAAAATTTTAATCTCTATCGATGACTTCTAAATAAGAGGAGGCAAGGAAAAGTAAGCTGTAAGCTGCTATCTAAATGTACAAGATTATAACTGCTATTCATGGAAACTTGTTTATACTGTATCAGAGTATATCCTGTTTGGTAGCTTGGTCTCACAATAAGGATAAGAGGATGGGATGAGAGAGAAGATGTGAAAAGAATAATAATGTTCCCTGGTCCCTAGACACTGTCTTATGTCTTTTCCAGCTTTGTTAGGGAAGACCAGTATTATCCAGCGGCCTCCCACTGGTTCATTCTCATTCTCTCTCTCTCTGAAACGGAATCCCCTCAGAAGCAAGGGCTTTGGTTTCCAGGGTGAACCAGCAGTGACCATCAAACACTCCTTCCTACTTTGCCAGCGAGCACAATGGAGCAGGGTCTTCAGAGTGGCAGTCTCAGCTACTCTAGGAGCACTTCCTTACATGCTGTCCTTAGAACAATAAGGAGCAGGGACGTTCAATCAGCAGCTCCAGTTTCCCCAGACCATCCCAGGGCCCCCAAACACCCCTCGCTGAAGCCCTACCTTTGGGCATCTTCTTCAGGATGTGGAACACTTCACTTTGCTCAATGAGTTCCTTGGCCCGGAAGAAGTGCATGCTGGGTGGGAACTTCTGGGTCTCCATGGCCTTGGTTATCTCAGCCTTTTTGAGCGTCATGAGTTTCCCGTTGGCTTCTTCTTCTTCTTTCCTCAGCAGGAGTTGTCCCCCCAGCCGCATCATCTTCTCCCTAGCAAACAGTTGCTTCCGTGCCTCATCTATGGACACGGCTGAGCAAACGCAGGACAAAGCCACAGCCAACAGCAGAGCGAGCAGGGCCGCCCGCCCAGATGAGCCACCTGCCAGCATTGGGATGCCTGCAAGAGGAAATTGGTCCAATGGAGACTCAATGGGACTTGAATAAGAGGGGGGCGGGGAGTTGTGGATCGGTGGGGTTTACCCATTTAACTTCAGAGTCCTCACTTCCCTTCACCCACCTCTTTCTTAAATTATTAGTAGGCAGGGCAATGCAGGTTTTTACCCTCTGAAACCTCAGATAAAAGATTTCCAGGTATGGAAGGGTAGGAGGCTTCCGGATATGAGGTCTCCTTATCATGAAGCTTTTCAGATTGCAAGTTTTGCTCTCACAAAGAGCAAGAAATTGCCATCAGATTTTTTTTTGTCCTTCACTTTCGCCTCCAGCAAGAGCACACTGGCTCACACGTCTCCAGCATGAAATTAAAGCAAATCACACCAGACGGGGGCTGGGGGTGGGGGTTGGTAAAACAGAGACCATGCAGAGAATAAATGAAAAGTTCAAAAGAAGTACAATTAATATTCTTCAAGGGTGACGGGAAGGTATTATGCCCATCAAAGAGGAGCAGGGGGGGGGGGTTTCTTTTGTTTTAATGAATAGAGAATAAGAAAGAACCTTTTGAAATTAAAAATTTGAAAGCTGAAGTTTAAAACTTACATAGAAATATTGAACGATGTAACTGTAGAAAACACCTAAAAAGTAGGAGAAAATAAAATGACCAACAGGATTGTTGGTCCAGAAAATCCAACACTCAAATAATAGGTATTTCAGAAGAAGGGATACGGAGAAACCGACAGGAAGAAATAATCAAACGATATTGCAGAACACGGCTATTAATCCCACCCCCCGCAAGCTTCCAGAGATTTAAGGAAGGAAGAAAAAGGAAAAATCCTGCATTTTCTCTTTTATCATTGTGGCATAGTGGGTTATGCATTGGATGCTCAATCACAAGATCATCGGTTCAAAACCACCAGCTCCTCCAAGGGAGAACAATGAGGCTTTCTAGTCCTGTAGAGTTATGGGTCTCTGCAACCCACTGTAATAGTTCGACTCTGTCCTATAGGGTTGCTGTGAGCCTTTTAAGTCAGAATGGACTGGTGGCAATGAGTTTGGCTTTTAGTTTGGATACTAATTATAAGGACCTTAGTGACAGAGGAGTGGGTTAAACCTTGGGCTGCTAACTGAGAAGTTGGTGGTTTAAACCCACTAGCCACTCAGTGGGGGAAAGATGAGGCTGTCTGCTCCCAGCAAACGCTCCAATCTTGTAAGTCTATAGAGGCGTTCTCCTTTATTCTACAGGATCGCCATCTATGTTAGTCTGGGTAGACGAGAAACAAATCATAAACACGCATATGTATATAAGGGAGAGGTTTATATACAAGAGCAATCGGACATTGAGAAAACATCCCAGCCCAGTCCAGATCAAGTCCATAAGTCCGATATTAGCCCATATTTGTGATATCAATCTAAATAGTCCTCGTCAGACTCACAAAACACATGCAATGACGCCGAGTGCAGGATGATCACAGGCCAGTGGGTAGAAAGTCTTTGGATCCAGTGTCATTGGAAACAACTCAGCACTGGCAGGGATCTCTCTGTGGCTTCTCCGGCTTCCGAGGTCTGGTTGTGTCCATGTGGCTTGTCTTCTGCAGTGTCTCCCAGAGTGTAGCAGAGAAAGCGAGGTGTCTTCCACCTCCAAGGAGGAAGTACCAGATTTCCAGCATTCTCAGGAGAAGGCCGTGCCCACACAGAAGTCTCATTGGTTATCTCCAGATTCACAGCGTAGACTCCAGCCCTCCACTCTTTTTTTTTTTTTTTTTTTTCACAGTCCACCTCGCTTTTATTTTTTTCTTAAAAAAGAAAAGGAACCAACCAAACGAGAACAGAAGGCAGCCGCGTGGCACCCTCGGCGGCTGGGCATGCACTGTGGGAAGCCCTCCACTCTTAATCCTTACATTGACACCAGACTAAGTGACTACCACTCCGTCCATGAGCGTCAACTCAGGAGCGTTTTAAAATCTCAATGATCTATTTGACACTTAAGGATTATTTCTGAATACTTAGAATTATATGCTTCAAAGCAAGAAGGATGGTATATAATGGACGGAAATTGTCAATTAGGAGATTTAATAATAATCCCAAATTTATATCAGTATTGATTTAAACAAAATTTTTATTTAACACAAGTTTGGTGGGGGAGGTGTAGGCAAGCTACTTGGTTTATGCAAGCGTCAGTTTTTGCACTGGGGAAAAGGAAGAATTTTGCATCACCAGGAAAGCATGACAGGACTTTAGCTGGTTTGCCAATGACTACGTTACTCTGAGAAGTAGATAGCTTTAAGATGTGTTTGAACACATCAAACCTATCATATCATGACTACTGTTATTTAAATGGAATTTTTAAAATATTTAAGTTCATTTTAATAACAATGCTAACTCCCTAGCGGTCCAGGGACATGGCAACAAATCAAAGCTTGGTGTTGTTGGACTAGATTAGTAGCCCGGCTCCTTCCTGCTGTGGTGTCCAGTGACTCTAAGGCGAATTCCACATTGAGAGGGAATTTTGGGGGAATGAGATGATTATTTACCTCAGTCTCACAGTGTGGTCAGGCTTAAACCGCCAGCATCAGAGAACTGGACTTCTAAAAAATCATTTTATTGGGGGCTCTTCTAGCTCTCATCCCATTCCACTTATCAATTGTATCAAGCATATCTGTATGCATGTTGCCATCATTTCCAAGACATTTTCTACTTGAGCCCTTGGTATCAGCTCCTCTTTTTTCCCTTCTCTATCCTTGCAAACCCTTGATCAATTATATATTGGTATTATTATTTTGTATCTTACACAGTCTGTCGTCTCCCTTCTCCCACATTTCTGTTATTGGGTGACTATATATCCAACCTTGTGACTATATATCCAACCCCCCCCCCACCAAAAATTGAACTTTTGAACAAAGCCTTCGACTTCATTCTGTCTTTGTCTGTCCTCAGGCTACAACCAAAGAATGTCCATCCTCATCTTAATCCCTGGAGAAAGAGGCCCAGGACTTGCACACACACACACACACACACACACACACACACAC